CAGCTGGTCATTGCCTGAGTAAGAGAACAGAGCATCCTCTTTGTTCTGCTCTGTGACTGATTGGGCTGTGCCTCACGTGTGAAAATGGAACATTGATGATGATGATGATGATGATGAGCTGTGCACTGTGCTTGTGAGCACAGCTCAGCTCACTGCACCTACCACCCCTGTGTGTCCCAACCCATGATGAAAATGGATGCAGAGGATTCAGAGGGTAAATGGCAGTGCTGCTCATACACAGAGATATCCACAGGTGAGGTGTGTGTGCTTGGGCTGGGCTGTCAATTAAAACATCTTGGATGCTTCCCCCGTGGCAAAGAGCAAGCTAACTAACATGTTTATAAAAGGATTTACATAGCTTTTCATATTCTTTTTTTTTTCCCAGATGATGCAGTAAAGATTAAAATGCATTAGTGATGAGCCACACATATAAACAAAATAAACCTCCCAATTAAAAAAAAAATAGAAAAGCAAACATAATAAAAAACCAAAGGAGCATAAAAAATAAACCATCAGCCATATGCTGAGTTAGAAAATATCTGACCTGCTGGCATCTCCTGTGACTTTGCATAATTCCTCTGACCATAACATAGCTCAGGGACATAGAGCCCTGGTAGCTCTAAGACTCAAAGACTGCAAACATCCCCCAAAATCCTTTTTTACCACTTTTATTCTTTCTGTGTGGAATGTTCTTTGCCTACATACTCAAAACTGTAACCAAGCACTGAAAAACTAGGAGGTTTTGAGGTTGATTTGAATTGCATTCAAACCAAATTAGCTTTCACAGGGATTTTTTTAAGGTTATTTTTAGTCATTGCTTCATTTAAGGGCATTTTTCTTCAGAATTGCCATGACCCTAGATTCCAGTTATTGCTGGATTTAAGTACAGCAGTCACTTAACTGTAATGTTGATTTTTATAGTGTTTATTGTGTTGCTACATTATATTAGACTGCTCTATTACAATGCTTTCTGGTTGTTACAGCATTCCAGAAACACCCCAATGAAATAAGGCTGATTTCCAACAATGGGAAAAACTGAAGGAAGATGCTGTGCATCCATATGGACTGACACACCACTTACAGACAGCACTCTGAAAAATATTTATGAATCAAAGTAACAGCAAAAAATTTCCAGCTGTTGCAGCGAGGCTGGCTGGTGTGAGAGGTTTTCCCTTTATTCTGTTCTGCAGGTGGAATTAGGTTGTCTGCTAAAACCTGGGGGCTGCTACAGTCTCCTAAGCCCCCACAAGGCTCTTTCCACTCTAAGGATGCCAGAGTTCCTTCAGCAACCTCAAGGAGAGACCAGGTTTGACAGTTTTTGCCTGGAGTTATTGCTGATTTCTCAGCTCTTTGTCACTAACAGCTTCCATTAGTTCACCTCAGAGATACTGCACAGATGGAGTAATTGGGCCTTGGGGATTTTGATGGCCCTCTTTTTTTTTTTTTTTTTTTTGCAATTGTACTGATCAATTGAGTAAATTCCAGCTGCAGGGTTGAGGATCATTTTTTGCCGCACATAATGACACGCCAGGAGAGCACAAAGCTTCACCATGCAGCACAGGTGAAAAACTTTCTGTGGACGTGTCCTCAAATCAGCCACTGAACACATCTGTAATGCACATCCAAAAACCCCAAAACTATCTTCTCCACAGCAATACTTCTGAAAATGCCCTCCCTGGTTTCTTGTACCAGAGGAGGACACGAGTGTTTTTGAAGTAATTCTCTCGTAAATGTAAACTGTTCTCATGTGTGAACAGCCCCTCTCTTCCTGGGAAATAAAGATGATCTTTATAAACTGCAGCCATATTTGCTTTAAATGTTTTGGGTTTTTTTTGGTTTTTTTTTTGTGGAAGGAGCAATAAAACCAGAATAGCTTCTTTTTGATACTCTGGAGAGCTTGAGATGAAAGTGGAACAATTAAAAAACATAATTAAAAAAAAAATCTTCAAGAGGAAATCAAAGTCTTTCACCTGATGTATTTTCAGACTGCTAACTGGTTTTATGTAGAAATAATCATATTTTTAACAGCTTTTTGATTTTGAGGTATGAACAGCCTAAGACATTATGGAAAATAAGGCAGTCAAGACCAAAACAATAACATGTTAGTAAAGGAAGATGGAGCTGATAGTTAATTCTGAAACTGAGCTATAGAGCTCCCATCAGGACATCACCTTGTTCAAACTACAGCAGTATTCCTAAAGGCCTTCAGATACTTTTCTCCCACCATAACCAGTTTCTAAAAGGTAAGAGTAATCCTTTTCCATCCTTTAGAAGTCTTTTGTATTCTAAGAATATTACATGCTTGGAAAAAGAATATTTAGGTGCTTGGAAAACACAATCCTGAGAGGCACAGGAGTGGCTGGCCCATCCCTGGGAGGGACAGCACATGGCTGGGAAGCACAGGCTGGAGAAATGGGCTTTGTAAAGTTCAGCAAATGGAATACAAAGTCCTGTACCCTGGCAGGAACAATCCCATATGCCAGGTCTTGGCTTCTTTTCTGCACCTGTCAAGGTGGGTGGAAAGTGCAGAGATGATGTTTCATGTTCAGACTCAGATGTTTGGTTTTTCTTATCCGTATCACAGACTCACAAACCCTGAGTTCTGCAACACTTCACTAACAAGCTACAAAACAGCCTCCTATCTATCCCTACAAGGTCTTTTAAGGAAAAACTATCCAATTTTTAAATTACACCTAAATTATTTTCACTATTGACCCAATAACTAATGCCTTGTGGCCTGCAATGTGGACTTTTATATCCAATTACACAAAACTACCCAAACCCATGGAGAACAAGCTGAAGAAGACGGACCAGCCACTGCCCTAATGCCTCCATCTTGCTTTATATCTATTACTATATTCTAAACCCATAAACTCTAAGTTTTCCACCCTGTGATGTTACACGCTTCTATTCAAACTCCACACCCACAATCCCAGTTCTATCATTCCATTTTGGAAGCTTCCATGGCCTCAGATCAAATGCAGAGTTCTCCTGGGGATCAGCACAAAAAATCTGGAATTCTCAGCATCCAGAGTTCCAACACCCATGCACCAGGGCAGAGTGGCTGGAAAGTTCCTTTGCAGCAAAGATCCCACAGGTCCTAGGGGACACCAAGCTCACCAGGAACCTCATGACACAAGAAAAAATAACGGCAAGCATTGCTCAGAATTGCAGCAAATCTCATCCATGACTACAAACCAGTGCTACTGAAAAACAAAGGACACTCAACAGCTTTAAATTCACACTTCAGCAACACAATTAATTTTCTTGTCAAGGACAGGAAAAGTGATATCAACCCAACTGCAAAAAGGTTACAGACATAGCTGTTGTCTTATGCTCATAATTAAATATTTCATTTACAGTTATTATCAAATGTTAACTAGAATATGTTTCTGTCAGCCTCCTCTAGGATTCCATTCAGCATGCAAAACATTTCCATCAAAAAATCTATTTCCATTCTATTGAAGACAACATTCTGCCTTGTATGTGACTGAAAATAATTCTTCTGCCTTATTTTTACTCTAGTATTTCTGAATGCCTTATTCCCACACCACGTGGATAGGCAGGATGGACACAGAGCGCAATTATTGTTATTATTGTTATTATTGTTATTATTGTTATTGTTGTTATTGTTGTCATTATTGTTATTGTTATTGTTATTGTTATTGTTGTTATTATTATTGTTGTTATTATTATTATTATTATTTACAGTACAGCTACAACTAGGCATCTTTGTTCTTCTCTGCCACTACAAAGAGATGTTTATTTGATCTCAAGAATGTGGAGGAACCTTCAGCAACAATCTGGTTTAATTTGGTGAGCAATTTGAGAATATTTTCAATATCTTGAAGAGCTGTGAATGAGCTATCTTCCTCAGACTACCCAAATACAAAAAAACAGCTGGAAAAATCAATCAAGTGTAACTCTTTCTTTAATTATCTTTAATGAGAATTAACTGTTACTCCAGATACAGGCAGAGACTTGCAGAGAAAAATTTATGGTTATTTAACAGCTTCAAAACAGCAGTGGTTCTTATTGGAATCAGTTCCAGAAGATCCAAGAATAGCCAGCGTCAGTTGGCTTTTATCTGAATTTATTTACATTGAAAAAAAAAAAAAAAAAAAAAAAAAAAAAAAAAAAAAAAAAAAAAAAACTTTAAAAAAAAAAAAAAAAAAAACTCATATTAAAGTGAGAGAAGCATATGAAAAAAAAAAAAAAAAACAGAAAGAGCAAATATTTCTAGCAAACCAAATTAAATTATATAAAAAATTGTCATTTTGAGAATACTATATAAATTGTAGGTACCCCAGGACAGCTGTTTCTGTTCATATAAATTTAACAACAAAGATACAGGCTTTGTTTTATAATCAGAGGTTTTGAGCTGACATTTTAGTGCAGTTAATTATGAATTTTTAGTTCAATTTAATATATGTTTGATCTTGTATAAAAATCATCAGTAGAAGAGTATGAATCACGCTTAACAAATTACAGCTCAAATGGGCCAGAAAACTCATTGAAATGAAACTGGCATTGAATTGAACAGAGCTCAGGTCAATAAAATATCTGGAATTCTTCATTCTTCTTCAGTACAATTTCTGTTATTACTCCCTATAAAACTCTGGTTGAACTTTAATGTGAACGTGTATCCAATATGTATCTCTCAGAAAAGCCTTAGATTTCAGAATCAAAGAGCTGTAAAGCACAATTCTGAACTGATCCAGGGTAGCATGAAAAAAGTACTTCCAAACTGGAGCACAGCTGCAACACCAGAGCAAAATGTATATAAATATGTGAAATTCATATTCAGTTTTGATGTGTTTGAAGGCCAGACTGTCCTGCAGAATAAATATGTTTATTAATAGAGTGGAGATGTTCAAGTCAATATATGATTAAAAGCTGACTTAGATTGCAAATCTCCACCTAATGGAATGTTGTTTGAATCTCTCTTGTGCCTAGCCAAAGAAATTCTCATCCTTCATCCTTCCTCTGGAGAATGTCCCGTGGGGATGAAAATCTGCTGACAGTAGTGAGGGACTGGGCACAGACGTGGCGTAGGTGTCCCTCAGGGATGGGAAATCCTAAAAGAGAATCTAGACAGCTGCTTTGAGTCTGTTACCCAAATTATCTTGGCACTCCCAGCAGATTTCTTATGAGAAATTACAAATTACAAATATTACAAAAATCCTCTGAAAGCTCCTATTAGTTTGTTTTCACGTCCTTTTATCACTGCTGCTAGAAAGTAGATAACTTTAAAAAACCATAGGAAAGGGGGAGCCACATCCAGCCATTTCACCAGGGTGAGGCCAATAAATTTCCTCCCTGTGAACATCTAATTTGTATTCATCATTCTCTGTGCCAGATGGCAGCTTGTAGGCTATTGCACAACATCATGATTATGGAGTACCAATAGTTCAGACATGTTTTTACTCCAAAACTGTTTTTTTCTCCAATAAGCAGCTGTTCTTTCTGTAGGTTCCACAGTGCTCCCTCAGGTGTTGTCTGTTCTTTCACTCTTTTATTACAGAACACCTGAAGAGGTACTTGGTTGTGAAAGGAAAATGAATTTTAGCAACTGACCACTCATGCTGCAATCAGCTGTTGTGGATTCTGCTCTCCCTTCAAAACCTTCCTCTAGAAAACATCCATATTGAGAACTGTGCCTCTGACACAAGTAATGATCATTCTGTTGATTTAAAAGAAACCATGAAAACTCAGAAATTAGTGCAATCTGTGTGTGGGAGGGGGGAGCTTATGCTGGTTCCTTTGGTATTTTCTAATTATCCTAAATCTTTAACTGCTCTTTAACAATGAAGTACTGATGCATGTGGACAAAAGAAAACCAAACAAAACAACAACAAAAAGACCCCTAAAAAACAACCAACAACTCAAAACTCCTACACATACACACAAACACACAAACCCCCACAAAAACTGCCAAAAAACAACTCACATAAAAAAGTAAAAACAAATAACCTTGAGCTATCAATTTACCCAGGGAAATAATACACCTATATTTCTAACAAATGTTCTGCCAGTGGGTGACTCTAAAACAACAATAAAGTGATAAAAAAGCCATCAACAAGCTGGAGAACATGAAAAGGTGGCATAATTTCTCTAACACCCAGTCCAGCACCAGCCCAGACCTGGCAGCACCATTCAGAGCAAAGAAATAACTCAGCCCCCAGTGCCAGGGGAGCCTTTGTACTCCCAGAAAGCAGAACAGAAGAGATAATGAGATTTGCATTGTGCATACTCGACTATTTAAAAATAAGTTGACATCAGCAACTCCTTTTAGCCCAGCTTGTGAAGAGCTACAATTCCTGCTAGCTGCCCATTTGAGCTGGGACCCAGGAGCTCAAGTGCTCTGACCCACTTCAGCAGACTTATTTCCTCCCAGTAAAAATTAGAAATATTTACAGACACTCATGGGCTAAAACTTGAAAAGGTGATATGATGAATTAGTGAGGAATTCAGCCGTGTCCACGACTTGCCCTTTATTTTCTTGGTAAAATGTGGTTTTCTTCAACAAATTAAGTTCTGAGAGCTTTGCCTGTTTTATACCCACGCCATGTCTGGAATCAGGAAAAGGATAAATTGCTACTGTTCACCTCTGGGAGCTCCCATGGCATCCAAACAGGCTGAGGGAACACAGAAATACCACTTTCATGGCACCAGAGAGACACACAGTCACGCTGGGGGCTGATCATGGACAGCTTAATTTCACTCCTAATATTTACAAGTACCAAACAATTGCATGTAAGGTTCAAGTCAGGAGGTTTTATTTAAAAAAGACCGAGGCAAAAGATAATTTAATGTTGTAATTATGTCTCTCTCTCCTGTTTTCTCAGAATGTATCTTAATGATTTAACTGCAGGGACAACACAGGTGGCCACAAGTTGTGGGAAAAGGGGGATTGTGGCCACTACCCCAGAGAATTCAGAGCTATGAGAGGAAGAAATGTGGTTAAGAAAAAAAGAGAGAGAATCTGGAAAGCCAGTGGGGCAAAAGGGATATAAAGCTTGTTTCCAACTGAATTGGCAGAAAGTCAAGGCCTGTCAAAGCAGTAAGTGCAGCAAAGCTGAAGCTGTCAGGCACTCTTAGTCACTGTGTTCATGTGCTGGTGCTACTGGAAGCATTTAGAAGAGGTGTCAACCACTGCTACTTAAAATTACAGCCCCCGCTGCACCGCCCCCAGCCCACTGCCACCACAACAAGAGTGAGGAAAAACCAGAAGTGTGGAAAAGAAAGAGTGAGGAAAAACCATCAGGCTGCTCCACGCCGGGCTCCTGCGTGAATGATTAAAGAAATATGGATATTGATCTAGTACCGATACCCAACTGTGATGGACAAAAGATCTCTAACAGTTTAAAGTTAGAAAGTGTGTGTTTACAAAGCTCCTGCTCTGAATTATTAAAGAAATATGGATATTGATCTAGTACTGATACCCAACTGTGATGGACAAAAGCTCTCTAAGAGTATAAAGTTAGAAAGTGTGTGTTTATTGTGTGTGGGATCGCTCCCAAATCCACACTGCAGCTTCCAGGTGATTACAGAGACTATTTATCCATCCAAGTATTGAATACCCAAAATACAAATACATATTCATAATTTTGGTACATCCCATTCCTTAGTTTATATGCTAATCACTCCAAAAGCCATTCAGCATGCGTGGTTTGTTCCTTGACATGGGTCAGTGTCCCTCTCATGGGGAGGAGTCCCAAAATGAGGAAGTAAATGAAGTCTTCCTCCTTCTGACCTTTCTACCTTTTCAATGCAAATGTGACAAATGAACTCTTGGTAGAACTCCCATTCCTTGTCTTCAATTGGTTTCAGAACAGAGGAGGCCCACAATTGTCTTATGTTCCTAAAGCTCTTTGTCAGTTTGTGTATTCTTCATTATAAACCCAGCTAACCAAACATTGTGCTGACAAGCAATCAATTATTAGTTAACTACTAACTCTTAACTTCATCAAGGCCTATTCATTTATTTTAATTAACTCTAGTAAGGCTTATCTCTAACTAAAATCTTAGCTCCTCTAAAATCTCTAAATTCCCTAAAGTTTGTTTCATGTGGCCCTGCAGCAGCACTGGGAGAGAGACTGCTCAGATTCTGAATTTTTGAACATGCAGAACAATGCTCCCCTGGCACTGGTAGACACACACTGGGGATGAAGCATAGAAGAAAAGCATTTTTTAAGGGCTACAAAGAGATAGAAGGACTATTTTGTATGTGGATATCTAAATATTTTTAGTTAATTATGAATTTTTAGTTACATTTTATATATGTTTGATCTTGTATCTAATCTTTATCTATGCATAAAGATTATACATAAAGATTAGATACAAGATCATTATTATATTATCTATGTATAAAATTTATATTATCTACGTATAAAGATTATCAATAGAAGAGTGTTATATATATATAAAGATAATACAAGTTTATATTATCTATTTATAAAGATTATCAGTAGAAGAGTATTAATCACACTTAACAAACTAGCCCAGTTCCAATGGGCAAAAAAACTTGTTGAAATGAAACTGGTATCAAATTTACCGGAGTTCAGGTCAATAAAATATTTGGAATCTTCATTCTATTTCAGTACAATTTCTGTTATTACTCCCTATCATTCTTATTTCTAACCTTTCTGATGCTTGAGACTTTATTTCTAAATTGTACTGTTCTTCCTAAACAATCAGTGACGTCACTGAGGAAGACTTCTGAAATGTGTTATGGAAAAATTAAAAGGTTTTGAGACCCAACCCATGCCTGGAGCTGCCACTTGCTGAGGATTTTACAATCTCTACTGCAGTGGCAGTGCAAAACATGCACTACTTAACTGAAATACTTCTCTAGGTAATAAAGTAAGGGTAAAGTAGTAAAGTCTCTTCCCTAGTAGCAAGAGAATATGGAAATTCATTAAAAATTGGTACAAGCGACACTTGCATTTTAGAAGATTATAAATAACACACAATGTCTCTGAATATGTTATTATTAAAATTAATACATAAAAATGTTGTGCTCTCAACCTCAATACTAGGGAAGATGATAATTTGCTGACACAGGTAAGATGGTCTGATTTGCAGATTCCCTCCTTTCCCAGTTCCC